GAACCAAAAAATGGCTCCAACAAAAGCTTTCGTGTGACTACTTAAAGGAATATCTTCATATAAAGGTGACCAATCTGTTGATGTGCTGCACCTCGGAATGTAACCTAGTCCAGTACATCACCTTTACCTATGACCTCAGTAATAAACATATCAATGAATGTATTGATTTATGACAATTTCACCAAAAAAATGAAACATTTTCAGCTTCATAAACACAGATGTTAACACTTTGTTGTTCACAAGATGAAATGCAACCTAATTAGGTGGAAGTTGGGTGGAGCTCTGCTAGTAATTAACTGTAGTCACACTAGCATTAGTGAGTCAGTGAGACATATTTCTGCATGTAACAGCAATAGTTTGACAAATAAATATATTGCTCTCCAGTTTGTGGTTCATTGCGCAAGTTTACAAGTAGCTAATTCGTCAGCTGTTACCTTTTTGAATGTAGCATCTCTTCATTTTTTAAACATTTAACTCTGTATTGCTCTAAAATCAGTTGTGCCTATACTTTTTCTGGTTGCTAGTTTTTGATATCAGTTAAATTCACAATACATATATCGCTGAACCTCCTGTATTTATGACTACTATGACATAAATCACATAGCATAATCTGTTACAGCAAAGTGAATGTATATGCTGGCTGTGCTGCACATGGATATGTATTTGTATGTATATGTAGAATATATACTACATATACATAAAAACAAAGCTTTTCTGGGCTTTTGGCACCAAGGACCTGGATAAATGCGCCAGGTTGCAACTTTAATTGCACAGAATGAGCATCATGTTTCAGTCCCGTATCTAGCTTTATGTATCTATAGTGCACAAAAGCTTTTTTCTAATCTCGCATGACCAAACCTCCGCTTCGTCTGGCTGCTCATGTTACATTAGAAAATTCATGAAAATAGCATCTGACAGATGGCACCCGAGATGCACTGACAAAAACCAAACCTCAAAAGTAAAATGAACAAAGTAGCCTACTATACTGTGACCACTATTGTTTTTACCACACAAAAGATTTAGATCACAAGGAAGCGTTCACCAAAAACTGGAGACCTTATCTCCAATTTATCAGTTGTCTTTTTGCTGTTCTTTTGACTCTGAATTTGATGTGTGATCAAAGATGAGATCGTGCTCCCTTTATAACTGTTGCCTTTAGGTTTTTGCATTGTTTTTGATTTAAGAACGGTAACTTGTAATAACATCAGCTGTAATGCCTGGAGACTGAAAAAACTGGTCACAAGCTCCAAGAGTCATGTTATTAAGACTGATGACTCCTACCACACTGGTAGCTCCATTGTTTTTTAAAAACGATAAGGTAAGATTAACATATCAGTCTATGATGGCTATCAGCCCTCAGACAGCCCCCAGCTCTCAGTGGGCGGCTGTACTGCCTCAACCGGTTGGGGGGAGCGGGTAGTTTTCACAGTCATCACCATCATGGAAAATAAGGCAAATACACCCAAAGTGAGTGCCCCAGAGCTTATTTAGTCATCTGAGTTGTCTGCCCCTGCCAGGCTTGCTCCCTCCCAAGAACCCCCTAAAACACGCTGCCGGTTGGTATCGCAGCTAATGCACAATAGATCTCTAACAAACCCATCTACGTATGAAACTGCCAAACATATCTCCACATCAGCGATGCTACTTTGCAGGGGTGGAATAAATTCCCCTGCTGGGAGGCCTTCATTGTACAGAAAATCTAATAAGCATACGAAACGCAAAACCTTCCCTCACCAGGCCTACTTGAAGCACGAGTCCCCCCCCCCACCTTGAACCCTGGCAGAGCGAGACCACTCAGAAATTTAACCCTAAAGTAAAATAAAGTTATTAAAATCTGGGCAGTGACGATTTTGAAAACAGCACTGCACTTATCAAATATAGGTTTACAACATATCACAGCATAACTTCATGTGTTTAGAGAATAGCTCATTAATCTAACCACTAAGCCTGCCTAAGTATTTCCACCATTTAATGATGGAAAAATGACCTAGCCCCTTGTGCAACTTTGTGGTAAAGTTCAAACAACACTGACAACTAAAAAAAAATCATTCAACTCCAGAGGAAAGGTTGCAGTTCAGTCGCTGTAGTCATCTCATCCAAAGCAGAGGTGGACTCAGGTAAAGCTGACTGACCTTCCCTTCACTGCTATAGTCCCTCAAGATCTCATCAAGTCAGTCTCAACTCTCAAGACCAAACATGTCAGTGTGGACGTCTGCAGCAACTTCCTCAAGGTCCCGTTTGCGTCACCATGTTATTTTCTCCAGCTTCAATTTCCTAAGGCTGGGCATCAGAGTTAAAAAAAAGTATCACTCAATAAGTACAAAGGCAATAAAGATTTAATGAAGTGGACAGAGGTGGATACCAGACGTCTATGAAGAGATCAACAACTTGTGGTGTAGAGGCATCATTGTTGATGAGGGTCTGGTACAGCAGGGTCTTTGTCTTCTTCACAACATAACATCAACTTCTGGGTCCCATCGTCCCATGTCACCTTCTCTGGCAGGACAGGAAACAGCTTGGTAAACTGCAACCTTTCAACCGGGAGGTACTTTTCTCTAACTTAAAGAATATAGCCTGTCCACTGTCCCTCACAATGGCTTTATTCTCCCTGACTGGTGCTTTCAGATACTCGACTAGGGTGCTGTGGAACAGTACAGTCAGTTTAGAAAGAGGAGGAGGGAAAGAGTCACCATAAGCATGGTCCTGAAACTAGGCGTGTTCACTGAGAACAAGAAATGTAGGTTTGTTAGTCTAAAAATGTAAAGCTCAAATACAGATGAGGGGAAATGAGAAGTGTCCTGCTTCTTGTCCCTCCACTAATCCCAGTTTAAGAACACAACACATTAACTGAGTTTTATACGCCTTTATCTAGTCAGGTCTACTCTGTGCATCCTCATCTTAAACTGCAATAGTCACAGCTGGTTCTGTCTCACCGAATCTACCCCTTAAAGATGTGAACATCAATTGTACAGTACATCTCTTAATAGGATCATAACAGCATACCATGTCAGCTGATTCACAAAACCAGAGGGATCCTTGTCTGGTTTTGGAAACTGCACAACCATGGCACACAGCTCCAGCTCAGTAGGGGTCCATGATCTAGCCTGCATATGCTAGGACTCTGCCTTATTTCTATAAGAACCTGCACTTCTTCCTTGGTCACTTTTCCAGCAAATATACAGATTTAAAGAGACTCAACAACTGTCCAAACTACCAAGAACTTGGAAGCTCAGACTCCTTCACACACTGAGAAGAAGGGAAAGGAGAAAAGCCTCTTATGATGCAAGTCGACTCATTTGACCTTGTTCTCTGTAGTGTGGAGAAGCCCGGGCTTCCTCAACCCTAGAACTGGTTGTCACTCTGCACTGATTTAGCAAGATAAACACACAACCCGTAATGTTTCCAAAAAGCAATAAACTGCAGCAGTGCAACTACTGTATCACTCATTTGACACTACAACTTTCTCCCATGTTTGTTTTCTACTCTGTCACTTCTAATTTACATGTCAGTTTAGAAAACATCGTCAGTGTACATCGTGTAGGAATATGTGGAGTTAGAAAAGAGGACACCTGCAAATTTATGTTGCCAAGCTAAGAGCTGACAAGACATACTGTAAAGGGTTAGTTTTCACTTTAATAACTGAGGTACTGTCCCTGTAGAACTCAGTTCCTTCCTCTCTTACTTCCATACAAAGCCTGTTAGCCGTGAGAATTCAGCCCACAGTATAATCTTGCTATAAAAAGGTTAAGAGTAAAACTCAGTAATAATATGTTCACTATTGTGTCAACCTGTGTACTTGACCATCAGGCTTCATAGCATCACTGCTGTCGTTCTCATCACTGACAATAGAGCAAATATGCCCAAACTGGGTGTCCACAAGGTTTTTGTTTGTTTTTAAAGAGTCATGTAAGTCATCTGTCTCTGCCAGGCTTGCTCCCTCCCAAGAACCCAAACGCACCCCCAGCTGGTACCACATAAACCAGGACCGACAACGTAATGTAAATATGAAAAGTATCCCTGCATCAATGACATAACGCTTTGCAGGAGTGGGATAAATTCCCCTGCTGGGAGGCCTCCCAACATCCGAAAATTTTAAAAAGAATACAAAAAGCTAAACTCTAACACCACCGGGCCTACATAAAGTGCGAGACTCCCTCTTGAAACTTGGCAGAGCAAGATGACCCATGTGGAGAAGATCACTAGGACTCCACTGCCCTCTCTGCAGAGCATTTACCACCGCAGGGTGCGTAGGAAGGCTGCCTCTATCCTCAAAGACCCCACCCACCCCCAGCACGGACTGTTCACCTCCCTACCCTCTCGCCGGAGGTTCAGAAGTGTGAAATGCAGGACCTCTAGAATGAAAGACTCTTTCTTTCCCTCTGCCATCAGACTCCTAAACAGCTGAGGAGTTCTGCATTTGCTGCTTAAAGTGCCTTAGATTTTGTGTTACTTATTTATCTACTTTATATTTCATTTGTATTTTGTGGCATTCATGTGGACGGCAAAGTAAGAATTTCATTGTACAGGGAAACACGTTTCCTAACTGTGCACATGACGAATAAACACTTTGACCTTTGACCTTGATTTTATGGGTTTTATTTAATCCAGTCATGAATCTACACAGTCTAGATCAAGGAATGAATTTTCAAGCTCAGCGTGATTCAGATGTCCTCTCTGCGGAGTTTCAGAATTTAAGCTCCCAATTCCAGCTTTTCTTTTCATTTTACATAAGTATTCAACATTTCCATTTCAACTTTTATATTTATTCAACATTTTTTCATCTTCCATATTTGTTCAGCATTTTCTTTTCATCAGCATATTGCATCTCAGCCTTCAACTGTTTCAGCAAAGGATTTCAGCCATTTCAGCATTTTCAGGGAGATTCTTCTGCAACCAGCATCCACGCACATTTTCTTCAGGAAATGCATTTGTCTAGTTCTCTATTAACTCCTTATAGTATGCTAGAATACATGTTTCAGTTGGACCAAAGCAGCAGTGCCTTCTGCTCAAATGAATTTATTAAGGTACCAAAAGCAGATTTTAGCCTCCAAGAAAACTTGAAAATAAGTCAAGACTAAAAGCATAATGGTAAAAAACAAAGAAAGAAAGCAAAAGAGCTTTTCTAACAACTGAACAAACATACGGTAAGTTCCACACATTGGAGGAATATTTTATTGGAAAAACATTCCCATTTCCCTATTAAAACATGACTGGCATCCAGTTGATTTTATAAGACTTATTAATTCACAAATAAAAGCTCTTGGCTCTGTAATGATCAATGATAAATTCTGTCACATTAGAGACATGTTAAGAAAAATAAACTAAACTATATCAAAGACATGACGAATGTAGAACTGTCAGAATAAATTAAGCTTGGACAAATTTTTCATCATATGATGGTATGTGGTGTGAAATGTACTGGAAACCTGCAGGGGGCAGTGTGACAGAATTGTGCAAATCTTGAATTTCTGTACAAGGACAAATGATATATAGACCATGACATTATCTAAATGGGAAACATTTAATTCCATAAATTAGGGAGAAAATTGGAATATAGGAAAAAGCAGAAAGAAAATATACATGAAAACAAGATTCCACAGTATCAGATTTGGATTGAGTTTAACTTAATAACAAAATTTGATCCTGAATAACTTACGAGTTCCTCACTATCTGTATATTAGATTCTGTGTAGAAAAATACTGCTCCGTTTGCTAAACAGCATCAGAATTTCCTTATCTGTCTGCGCTCTTGTCTTCTCTGCTTCTTCTCATTGACTTCCTCTGATGCTGATGGGCTTTCTGTCAAAAACCAGGGGCCCAAAAAGGTTACCCACAGGAGGTGCACGGCACGAGCTGGGGCCTGACACACACAGAAGACAAGTTCACATTATGAGACACATAAGAAGCAAAGAAGAAAGGGAACAAGCAGCTGTCTCACTGACTATCAGTAAAATGAGGCACGGGACACCTACAGTACACTGTACTACAAAAGCTCTTACCAGCAGCAAAAGATACCAGAAGTAAGAGGTAATAATGGTGAGCACTTGTGCTATGGCTGTGAGCAGGATGATGTCCTTCAGGTGCCTAAAACCAGAACACACAGGTGATAAATTATCACTGAGAATTGACGTCACTGTGCACACAGAACTTTTTTGTGGTTGTCAGTGTGGTTTAGCTGACCTTCAATGGCTTGGGGGGCTTAGAGCTTATGTGGGTGCCATTTCTTTCTATACTTTCACATTACCCAGGAAATTAATATAATTAAAATGAGCTTTGTGCACTCCATACATCCAACAGATGTCCTGCTATCACAGTTTTTCTTAATTGCTGAAACACTAATCCTCATTCTTGGAACAAAGCTGTCAAATGCCAACACTCATTTATCTCAACAAATCACTCTTTTTGCAGAACCTTAAAACAATAGTCGCCCAGTTAGTTTTCAAATCCGATTCAACCTTTTTGCACTCAAATATTTCTCTGAACTCAGAGGGCATAGGTGGCATGAGTGAGTGGAAGACTGATACCAATAATGGAAGGAAATCATCTGAGGCAGAGGAGGAAGTGTGTGTGTGAGAGGTGGTGAATGAGGAGGAGGTGGTCAGGGAGGATGTTGCCTGAGATGTGGATGGAGTCCTCTGGCCTGACCCAGCACAAACACACGATGCTGAGGCCGAATCAATCACTTGTTGATTATACGTTGACTGTACATTTACTTTGTACTGTCATGTGCTTTTCATTTACATTTTCTCTTTGTCTTTTTGTAGTTTTACAAGTGCTGAATCCACAGACATCCAATACTGTAGTGCTTGCAGTACTTCTAGTATGCAATACCTAAACTGTAACTGAGTTGTGAACTTATTTATTTGGATAACATAACATGCATTTACTTCGTTTTGCAAGAAGAGCCAGAAGTTTATAGTTTGAAAAAAAATGGGTTTTGTGTTCACAGTTCTGAGAAAAGGGTGGAAGGTTTCAACAAAATGTCTTAGCAATTAAGAAACATTGTGAAGCACAAACCCCTCTAAAAATTACATTTAGAGTCTTTGATAGAGAACTAAGACTAATACACTATGATCCTCTCTTGGTATCTACAAATAGAATGAATAAATACAGAATACAAAGACCCAAGACTAAAATATAGTTTTATTCGCTCTTCTCTCATGACTGTCCTTCACTGGCTGATTGTAGCAGGTTTTTATTAGTATCTTAAAATAAAATTGTCACACATCTAAACAAAGGTACAAGCTGAATTATTAAAGCAGGGACAGAGGACGAAGAGCATTTTCAGCTTTCAGTAATGTCTGAAAAACCTGCTATCCCTCTAATCATCAGAGGGTTAGGACAGACTCAATGTGGCCTGATGAGTGAGACCCATGACCAAAAAAAGTAAAAATAAATATCTGCAACTATTTCAAAGTAGTTTCATGTGGTTTTCGTAGTGTGTGTAGCCTAAAGATGGACTTTCTTACTCTGCCATTCCCTGTTCCATGTTTAAGTCTGTTCCTCCGTCCAGGAGACTTTCATCCTCAGCATACACCGGCTTGGCCATGCTAGACATGAAGCGGTAACTCCCGAAATACACTGCTAGTGCAAACACAGGCATCATCTACAGGAGCCAGACAAGGTTTAGGGCCAGGAAGGTGGAGTGGTTACAAGAAATCCCATTAGATTTGTGGATATCGAGATTTTAGGTCATCTTTAGTAAATACACTCACCCATGTCCAAAACGTAGAGGAACTGTAGAAAACCACTAAATTTACTGCAGCATATATGGCCTGTGAAGAAAGCCCGTTTGAAATCAGGGTGGGAACCATGAACATGGAATAGTGCTGTAACATTTAGTCAAACAAAAAATTAACAGGTAACAGGTTTGATAATCAATCAGTCCTTTTCATAATTAAAAAAAAAAAGCCAAACATGATTTGGTTCCAGCATAATAAAAGTGACAATTTGCTGTTTTTCTTTTTCATATACAACAGTAGATTGAGTATCAAAAGGTTTTGGAGTGTCAGATAGGCAAAATAAGAAAACTGAGAAATGATGAATGAATTTTTTTCACTTTTTTGTTTTACTTTTCATATGCTAAACTAGTAACAGATTGAAAAAAAAATAATGTACAGATTAATAAATTATGACAACAGTTTATTGCAGGCCTTCAGTAAAATCCAAAGGCAGTTCTAAACAATTTATACCTGACAATCTAAACCCATTGGAAACCAACAAGCAGGACTGTATTAGGGCAATTTTGAATTCACGAGATCTGGGCACCAAATCTGATAATGTATGTTGAGTTTTTTTTTTTAGGCACATAATTCATTGCAATATCCCCCGACCCAAAAAACCCTAACCCACAAAAGATACAGTTGCAACTGAAAATTACTATTTGAAAGAGGATTTTATCTGTTTGCCCTCCACATATTTAAAGTGAAACATTAATAACTAAATGTAAACTTTAAATGTGAAACACCTAAAACATTGTCAATTCTAAAACTGTAAGAGTTAACACAGTAAATGCAACATGACTATATGAGCTGCAGCTTTCGTGAGATTCAGGCAACTTGCAGAACTGTACGTTGAAGAAGTAAAACCTGACAGAGTTATGAACAAGCTTTAATCTAACATCACACCAGTGAACCACTCACTCTAGGAATCTGGTGTCCATCTCACTCACACATTTTTTTGGACTGAAACAACACAAAAATAGCATTAGGATTCTTACATTAGCTCCTAGGATGATTCTTATGTAGAATTTCAGAGTTGCCTTATTCTCCTCCATGATCTGCTTCTTTCCCTTAGTGCCAACTTTACCTTTGGGCTGGTGGGCAAAACAAAGAGAGCAGTTTCAGTGACACCAGGCCAATTCATCAATGAAGCTGCAAAACATACTAACCTTTTTAAACACATTTTTGTTTTGGTACATGGCAAGATCTCCAGTTTTCTGGAGGCAGAAAATGTAACTTGATATCTGACATTCATCTTATGGTTTCTGCTTAGACCTTTGAATTTCTGCATATCTTAGAATTTATTAGGCTAACATCAGCAATCAAACCTAAATAACATTTAAAATGCCCATGTCTTTGAAAATCAAATAAATATAATTGAACTTTAGCATGAGGGAAATTTTATTTTTGAATTTTGGCTCCTCTCTCTTAATAAAATATCACAAGAAAACAAAGTGGCCTATTCTCCATTGCCCCTATTGAGTACTTGAATACACAACAGGTCAACCACCCCAAATGCTATTCTTCTTAAATTCAGTTGGGGTATCAACACTGACTTCTCCTTTTGTTGCTCCAACTCTAAAACATCTCTGCATCTGCTGTGTTCCTATATCCACACTGATGGTTTGTGCTGTTTGATGACTGTTTGGTTGTCCTTTAAAGATGTCTGGCATCAAATTAAAAAAAGGAAAATGAAAGCAAATGTTTATTTTATTTTTTTAAACTGGAACTTCTACAGACAAAGAACTCTAGACCCCCTTTGTGTATGGAAAAAGGTTTTATATGATTAGGTTTTTAAAAGTGTAATAAACCACACCAACAGTACTAATTCATTGAAATTTTTGTTGCAGGTCTGTGTTGACAAAGACTTATTCTTCTGCTTGTGCTCTGTGTCTGAGTGTTGCATTTGTTTGCAACATGCTTGTACCCCCTTGGCAAAGCTGTATATATTGTAGCTAAATAGGATGGAATGATGTGTGCTGATATTTATATTTTAATTAATAATCATATAGATGAGCATTTGGGAATTATCTCTGATCCCTCTCCCACTTTTGAGTCACACATCATGTGTGTAACAAGACCTTTTACAAATAAGTCCAAGTTCTGACAAGTGTAAACATGTTTTTATTTTTAGCTAGACTTCATCTATTGTCGTCTAAATTAAGAACATACAGTGAAGTCAGTTTTTTGCTTTCAAAAATGAAGTTTCACAGATCAAAGTGAGTTTCAAGCCAATGTCTAACATCCCTTCCCAACAATAAGTGATGTAGAAGAAATAAAAATTTGTTGCTCACTATTGTAACTTAATTTCTTCATGTAAGCTTATTTTTACTTTTTAATACTTTTATGACCTACAGTCTGACTGAATTTCATAAGAGACATAACTGCAAACCAACGTTTTGGAATACTGTTTCTGGAAAAAACTAGCCAATCAGATTTTTTCATTTTTCTCTACACAGGCCGGTGGTCGGATTGTTCTGCAGCCAGTGATCAGCATAGGCCATAGTAAATAATTCAAGTAAACGTAGGCTATACAGTACGTGAATCAATCAGTCAGTTATTGCTGTAACAGCCTGTCACTGTTGCAGCTGTATGCGTCTGCTTCTCTCACCGCCATTCCTTCTCTGAGCCGGTGCTACTGATTTCTTCCACGGCGTCGTCTTTGACATCGACCTCCGTCTAACTCACCAGAGCTTCTAGTCGTTATTATGTTACTGCATTAAACAAAAAACTCACGGGTCTCGCTATAGTCTATTTTTCTTGTAACACATCAGCATTAGAAAACTTCTCGGGGGTGTCAACATTTCCGGCGCACAAAATTGTCGTCATCGGCACGTTCTTATTAATTTAGCCTTTTTTTAAATGCTTTATTGAGAGTTTACATAGCAAATAAGGCATTACAACATTTTGTCAATATTATGAACGTAAGATCATTTTCATCACAACGTGAAGGGAAAACGAGACAGCGTTTCAAGTAAAATGAACTGAAATAAAATAAAATTTTATAATTGAAGAATAAAAATAAGTCAAACGATAAAATAAAGATGAAAAAAATATTTACAACAATAATAATAATAGAAGAAGAAATAAAATAAAACACAATATTTACTCAAGGGGAATTTCAGATTTGTTTATTAGATAATTCCCTATCCTCCTGTGGAAACTGCTGGCAACAGAGGATAACTAGAAACTAGTATCTAGAAATGTGACTGCATAACCGAGGCAACTTCTTGTTGAAAGCATTTTGTTGAAAGTGTCAATGTGTAATCATCTGAACATCCTCTCGGGAGGACACTGAGAGACTTCTGGAAATCTTAGTTGAATAGCTCTATTCCTATGGAATATGGAAGAGCATTCTCAAAAAAATCAAGTTGCTTGAGTCAGCCTTGTCTTTCAAAATGCTCAAATCCTGATTTTTCACTTTTTTCCCAACATTTGGATTTCATTTAGTTAAAATTATTAAAGCACTTTGTAAACCCTGCTTTTATTATTATTATTTATTATTATTTATCTTTTGTTTATATAATTAGATCAATGAACAGGACCTGTTTGGAGAACTTCATTCAGCCTTTTCGAGAGACCATTATTGACTCTTCTCGGACACCGTAGCCGGAAAGACAACCGCTTTTCAGAATAATAATACTCCAGTGGCATGCAGCTCATTATCGCATCGCTTAGCTAGCTTCTGGATGCTTCATAGCTGATCTAATGTTCAGTTAGGTAGCGAACCTCACTTTTGAACTGACACTTTATACTACAAAATGGAATACCTGCTTCAGGTGAAAATAGGCGCTTTGTTCGGTGTATTGCTCTTAACTCTTATATTTGG